TAGGTTTTTGAAGGATTTTGGCTTCTTCGGGGGGTCCTCGGAGGCCTCGGAGGGCACTTGAAACCGTTTTGGGGCCGTCTTGAGGCCTCTTGGCCGTGTGTCGGAAGCTATATTGACCCATCTACCGCTATGTGGGGCCATTTTGGAGGCCATCTTGCGCTCTCTGAGGCCCTCTTGGAGCCATCTTGGACGAAAAAGGACCCTCTGCCACCTCGCGGGGGAACCCGTCCAGACGCAGGGAGGGGGGGAGGTAAACCTCCCGAACAGGGAAAGGCAGGAGGTTGGAAAAGGAAGCGCCCGAGACCACCCGCGCCCACAGGGCTGGTGGGATTGGTTTGGGGCGTTTGTTCAGCGATGCTACCTTGAGGCGAAGGGGGCGGCACGGATTAGGATTGCCTGTCTTGGGCTCGACTGTCTTGGGCTCGACAAGTCACCTCAGGGCCCTGTTGGGCGCTGTTGGGGTCGTTTTGGGGGCCCTGATGGGTCCCTCGTGGGGCTCTCTTGTGAGATGTTGGAGCCGTCTTGGGGCTTCAAAATCCATCTGGAGGAGGGCAGGCGAGGAGGCACGGCGCGCTGGTTTGCGTCAGGCGTTGCGATGATTCGGGCCTCCGAGGGGGCATTGCTGTGAGGTCCCGTGACCATCTGGAACCGCCTGGGGGCGGTTTTGGGCCCTCTTGGAGGCATCCTGGGTCTTCTTACACCATCTTGCGCTGTCTTGTCCCGTCTTGGAGGTCATCTTGGGCCATCTGGATCTGCCTGGGACCATCTTCGGCCGTCCAGACCCAGAGGAGGGGGGCGAGGAGTCGGCGTCACCCCAACATACTTATACTATATGTGCGTCGCCCCCCGGGGGGCGATGCGCGTACCGAGAAATCTTATAGTATATGCGTCGTGGCGGGCGCTTTCTGGCCACGCCGTTCGGGAAACGATATACTACAAGATGGGTATACTATATGTGTGGGTCGGACGCGCGCCTCCAAGGAATACACATAGTATTAGTATGTCCCTGTGCGTCCCAAGGAGGGGTCAAGCTACCCCCTCCCAAGGACGGCCCTCTCGCTCACTCACGTTAGCACCCGAGCCTCAGCACAAGAAGCCGGGGGCCACCATCGACGCCCATGGAGACCCGATACAGACGCCCGCCAGGTGCGCGACGCCGGCGTGGTGCGTCGCGAAAGCCAGGGCACCCCCAGCACCCTTGCCAAGCAGCAGTGGCAAATCATCGCGGGACGCCCGCGCATGCTTTGACCATGTCGCCGCGACGGGCACGTTGCGCGGGCTTGAGAGAGGGATGGTGGGCCTGCCTGCGCGGGGCAGTATCCTGGCACCCCCGCCGCCTCTGCCAAGCAACAGAGTCCGGTGATCGCGGTGCGCCCGAGCGTGCTGCCGTTTTCGCTGCCATGTGCATGTTTTTGCTTGACAGGGTTGGGGGGCGGGCGCTGGCCCTGGTCTGCAGGGGTCTGTGAAGCGCGGGAGGTGGTGCTTATGAGTAGGCAGGAGGGGCCCGGCTCCCAACGGGTGCGCCGCCAGTCGTCTCGCTCACTCCCACCTGCACTTCCACCATGAAAGTCGCACCAGGGACTCGGCAGGGGCAGAGGTTCGCCATAGGATGGACAGCTATCGCGAACCAATGCAGACGCCAGGTACGTAACGCTCGCGGGGTGCGCCAAGCGTGCGAAGCGCGCCACGCGCACCAGGTGCGCAAGGAGCCTTTGTGGCCCGAGCGTGCCAGGCGCGCCTGGTGCGTCAACTGTGCCACGAGCTCTGGCCGCGCTGCGAGCGCGACGTACGCAGAGCGCGCCAGGCGGCGACAGTTGCGCCGGCGCACGTGTCAGCACACCTCGGGCAACATGTCGACCCCCGCTGCCATCCCTGACACATGCCAATTCGGAGTGGCGGCGGGGTGGTCATCAGGGTGTATGGTGTGCGTCTGTCTGTGTCAGCACCCGCAATGTAGTTCGCCATGGATTTTGACACAGATAGTGGGCGCGGGCGCGCGCGCAGCGGACACACACATGCACCCCCACACAACTGCCATCCCTGTCAGAGACCTATGCGGCGTGATCGTGGGGTGCTTTCTCATGATCCAGGCGCCGCCACGTGAATTTCGCGCTGTTCTTTTACTACATGTATGGTGGGGTGGAGGGTTATGGTTCCTGCTCTGGGGCCAGTCGAGTAGGAGATGGAGTGCTGACGCGCAAGGGGCGGAGATACACCCCTGCCCGAAGGGGAAGGAGGGGGTTGCAACAGGGAGCGCTCTAAATCACTTCCACCTAGAGGGCTGGTGGAACCGTTCCCTCTGAAGGACCCGTGTGTTGAAGGAAGCGGATCTCAGAGCCTGTGGCTCTCCCGAGGGCAAGATCTTCATCCTGAGTCGTTTTTCGATTGTTCCAGGGCCCGTGGCGTCCTTCCTCCTAGGCCCGTGCACCTCACGCCAATGCATCGTCAGACTCGTGGACGGCGAAGAGGAAGATGAGGAGGAGGAGGAGGAGGAGAAGGAGGAGGAGGAAGGGGGGAGAAGGAAGAGGAGGAATAGGAAGAGATGAGAGAGAGAGAGAGACAGAGAGAAAGAGAGAGAGAGAATCAAAAATGAACAAACAGGTATGCTGGATGCGGCGCAACATATCTGACATCCGACCCATCTCACCCATACCTTCCCATTGCACTGTTTTGGTTTCTATCCGCTGACAGGGGCCCCAGCAGACCTGGATCCCGCAAATGCTGCAACGGGAGGGCCGGTTTGAACAACAATAAGCCTTACGATTGTGAAGCCATTTATGGCTTGGGAGAGCAATGGAACTATGCGTGCACTGCGCGGGGGAGGCGGGGCCACAACGTCACAGTGTCCAGGGAGAGCAGGGTTCTGCGCATATGCGGCTATGGAGCCCTTATAGGCAGGAGGAGGAAGAGGAGGAGGAGGAGGAGGAGGAGGAGGAGGAGGAGGAGGAGATTCTCGCACACCCCTCGCCCGCCAGGAAGGGCGCCGTTGCGCCCGTGGCCGTGTGGGACTTCGACGCGCGGCAGGTCCCTTGCAGACATGAGGGCGTTTGCGGGGCCCGAGCAAATCCCAGACAATGCTCGCGTCGTGACAAATGTCCCGACGGGAGTTGTTGTTTCCGTTTTCGGCCTCCTGGGGCCTTCGCCAGGCCCCGTGACCGTCAGAAAACGATTCGGGGTGAAGCACCGGCCCCAGGAAAAGAGAGGGGACTTCCACGGACCCCGCATGGACAAAAAACACGACATCGCATGTCTCGGATGGGGTCGCAGGGTTGCGCCGCATCGTCGATACATCGGCGACGTGGCGCAATGCTGGACCCGGTTTTCTTCATCCCGACGCCGCCGGTGCCCATCTCTGAAGCATCGGCGAGGCAGCGCGATCCATCGACCCCGTCTGCTCTGGCCCCACCCGGGCGGCCTTCAGCTTTTGCTTGCGGAATCTGCTCCTCGACCCCTGATGTTCAAGGATCCTTGTGTTTTGGGGGGGCGGGCCTTTCTGGACCTCTGGGGGCTTCTGGAGGCCTCCAGATGCCCTTGGAGATATCCAGAGACCTCCAGTGGAGGAGATTTGCCCACAGCACATTTGCCCGCGGCACACGTGCTTGCCCGAAGCGGTTTCGCTGCCGCCACGCCAGGTCCACATGGTATTCGAGGGGCTCGCCCACCGCGTGCTGAACCTCAGGTCGTCGGAGTCGTCGTCGGAGTCGTTGTCGCCGTCGCCGTCGCCGTGGTCCGACAAGGAGGAGGAGGAGGAGGAGGAGGAGGAGGAGGAGGACGACGACGACGACGACGACGAGGACAAGGAGGGAGCAAAAGTAGGTGGGGACGAGGAGGGGCAGGATGATATGGGGAGGAATTGGAGGAGGTGGGAGGAGGTGTAGGAGGATGAGGCAGAGGAGGACGAGGATGAGTGGATGAGCAGAAGCAGGAGGAGGCCGAGAGGGGGATGTGGAGGACATGGGCATGTAGGGATGACTAGATGAGGTGGAGGAGCAGGAGCAGGAGGAGGAGGAGGAGGTGGAGGAGGAGGAGGAGGAGGAGGAGGAGGAGGAGGAGTGCGCCAGCAGCTCCCCCGAGATTCGGAGGAGGAGGAGGAGGAGGGGCAAAAATGGAGAGCCAGAGAGGAAGAGCGCGCGCGCGGCACAGGGCGAAGGCCTGGTCCGCCCGGCAGCGCCGAGGCCCACCGAGGCGGGCCACGGGCGGCCCGCCGCCCCACCCGGCGGCGCACGGGGCCCCCCCGGCCGACCGCGAGGCCGCGCGGACGGGCGCCCACGCGCCGACGAGCCACGCCGCGCGCGGCGCTCCCGCGGATCCAGGCCTCCCCGGCGGGGCCCGAGTGGACGGGGCCCCGAGGAGGGCGCCGCGTCGCCGACGCGTCGGCGACGCGGCTCGATGTGGAGCCCGCTTGTCGCCGATTGCCGAGGGGTTCAAGCTTCGCGCCGCCCGCTTAGCTTCGACCGGAAGAGGTGCGCTCTCGACCCGCGGATCAAAATTGCCTCCGTGCCGACGGCGCCGCGGCATCGCCGACGGCGCCGATGCATCGCCGATGCGGCGCGATCCTCGGGGCCCCATGTGGGAAGCCTCCAACAGAGGGCCTCGCTTCAGAGGGATCGGAGGCGCCGGCACCTCTTCCCCGGCGGAAGGCCCGCGGAGGGCAGCGGAAACGAAACGAGGCCGCCCCCGCCGGCGGAAGGCCCGCGAAGACGGGCGGAGGCAAGAATCGTCGCCCCAAGAGGTGGCAATCTTTTTAGGTAGGTTCAGGGCTTCTGGAGCCGGTCCTGTGCAGGGAAGGGGGGGGGCAGGGACAGCAGGCGACGCGGCTACTGTCAAGGCGTTGCAATGGGGACCACTTCGGGTCCAGGAGGGGCTCTGGCTTCCGGCCGCCGCTCCCGAGGTCTGGGTTGGGGAGCCTGTTCGAAGCCGAGGCTCGCCGCGGCCAGACAAGGCCCTTCGGCCCTCACCCGTGGCAGCATGGTGGCGTCAGGCCCTCGGGTGGGGTCCGGGAAGTCTGTCATTCAGTGACGCTGCTGCTGTTGCCAGGCTTTTCACCAATGCAGCTGGATGCCCCCATCGGAAGAAAAAAAACATCTCCCACGCACGCCCCTCCCTGCGCCTGAGCCGCCGCCGCCGCCGCCGCCGCCGCCGCCGCCGCCCGGGGGACCGCGGCGCGCGCGCCCAGCGCCTCCGGAGCCCAGCTCCCGCGCGCCCGGCCAGCCACGACGCTGCGCGCGCTGCCCGCGGCACCGACGGCCCGCACTGCCTCGGGGCGGGCGGCGGGCCCCCGCCGCCGCCCCGAGGCAGCAGCAGCAGAGCGGGGGCGGTCGACCGCACCTGCGCCGCCCGATCGGGCGGCGCAGGGGCGCCTGAAGCCGCCGCGGGGAGCATTCTGGGAGGAGGCGCGCGCGAACCAGGGGCCTCGGCCACAAAGGTTTGGGTGTCCTCGCCTTCCCAGACCCCCTCGAGTAGTGAAAAAAGCATGACGGGAGGTTTTTCCTAATTTTCGGCCTCCTGGGGCCCTCACCGGGCCTCGGGAGCATCAAAAAACGACTCAGGATGCGAAGCCGGTCATGGCGAAAGGGTCGGGACCTCTGGGGGTCGACGTAAGGAAAAAATCATTACGTCGGGGGTCTGGGGAGGAGGCGCGCGCGATCCAGGGGCCTCGGCCACAAAGGTTTGGGTGTCCTCGCCTTTGCCGGTCGTCGACCCTCCAGGTGACGGCCCAAGAGGCCCCTCGGACCGCCCCACGACGACCCAAGAAGAGGCCCCCCCGACGACGGCGCAAGAGAGAGGGCCCGAGGAGGAGCCTCAGGGGGAGGCTCCCGAGAAGGAGCACGAACCGACACGTCGAGCCCTCCGGCCCAGAGAAGCCTCCGAGACCGCGAGCAGGGCCCCCCCCGCACGCGTGCAGCCCCGGCGCGCGGCGGGGCTCGGGGACGGGCGTCGGCCTCCCTCGCGAGCGCGCGCCGCGCACGCCCGCTGGGGGGCCCGCCCCGGGCCTGGGCCGCGGGGCTCCCCGAGGGCGGGCGGGCGCCCCCCTGCAGAAGGAGGCCGCCCGCCCGGGCCGCGGCGCCCTCGTCTGGCCGGCAGGGCCTTCGAACGCGTCGGCGATAAGGGCCCGTCCAGCTGCCCTCCTCCTCACGCCCCCTCGTCCTCGTCCTTGCCCTCGTCCTCGTCCTCGTCTTCGTCCACATGGGCCTGCCAAACTGGCTGCGTCGGCGGCGCCAGCCTCGCCGCGGCCGACCTCGCCGCCGAGCCTCGCGGCACGCTTCCTGAACGGCCTCCCGCACCGAGCCTGACGGGCGGAAGCGCCGAACGAGGCCCCGTCTCAGAGGTGCCGCACCAACCTGATTCAGCACCTCGAGCGAAAAATCTGCACACCAGTATTGCCACGATTGTGCGTGGATCTGGGCTTCTCCATGCACATGTTCCACATCCACCGCCCACTCCAAGAGGCCAGATCATGCATCCAGGAGCGACGGGTTCGCTCCTCAACTTCCCCGGGCTGCACTGAAGGTACAAAGTTCGGCGGTGGGAGGCCCGTCGAGCTGAGGCCGCCCCCTGGACTGATAAAGAAGGGGCCGACCTCGAGCTCAGCCGCCCCGCCTTCAGCTTCGTCCCGCCGAGCCCGCCTCGCCGAGAGGCGCTGGCGCATCTCCCGAGCTTCCCGCCGCATGCGCTGGATGTTACCTGCCGTTGGTCCGATGGCTGAGAGGATGGCTACCTGCAGTACTGGCCTTAAGCTCCGACCAACGCTGCTTGTCCATCCCCTCCGCCTCGAGGTCGGTGATGTCGAGGAGGTCCCCGTCCACGAGCTCGACCGCGTCGACCAGCTCGGCGCGGGGGATCTGAGAGAGGTTGATCTGCAAGGAGCCCGCACCGACTCCGCTGGATGCGTCACCGCGAATCGCGGCCGTCCCTGCGGAGAGTGCGCCCGCCAGCCTTGGCGAGCTCCGCCGCGCGCTCCTCCTTCCACGCCCTGGACGCCTCCGCTGCTGCACCAGCCGCTGCAGCTGTCGCCTCCTTGCACTCGTCAAGCCAGCGCTGCGCCTCATCCTCCTCTAGGAGGAGGAGGAGGAGGAGGAGGAGGAGGAGGAGGAGGAGGAGGAGGAGGAGGAGGAGCAGGAGCAGGAGGAGGAGGAGCAGGAGGAGGAGGAGGAGGAGGAGGAGGAGGAGGAGGAGGAGGAGGAGCAGGAGCAGGAGGAGGAGGAGGAGGAGCCACGCAGCTCTGGAGCCACGCCTGCCTCGGCTGCCTCCCGCTCGGCGGCGGAATCCACCACTGGCCGAGCGTCGGGTGGGGCGGGAGGCGCCGCCGAGCCTCGAGTCGGGCATGCCCCCTTACACGAGGAAGATTCAAGAATCGCAGGACATATTCTGGATACGCTTGTTCGTGTTTTTTGTGTGTTTTTGTTGTTTGACTATTGCTTAAGCTTTCTTCCCAAATTCGCCTGTAGGAGGGCATGCCCGACCTAAGCCGAGCCACCGCCGCACGGCCCAGGGCAACTGGCCCAGGCGGCGACCACACTCCCTTGCCCTCACGCCCAGGGACCTCGAGCGGGAGGAGCACGGCGCCGCACTGGCACCAGAAGGCCTTGGACTTCCAAGTCCACCGATACTGACACGCCGTGCACGTGATGAAGTTCTTGCCATCCTGCTTGCCCATGGGCTCCGCTAAGAGCTCGCAGGGGACACAAGAAGAGCAGACAAGTACCGTAAGAGAAAGTCGTTCCAGCCAGGAGCTCACCGTGCGTAAATGCCTGAACTGGTGTCCAGGGATCGCTGGTGGGGGCGCACCTCCCGCTTGCCACTTCTCAAATCACGGAGCCTCCTTTCCGCCCCACATGCGATGTCTTGATGTTTTCCAACACGGGGTCCCCGGAAGTCCCGACCCTCTCCCGACTTCAGATCCGCCGTGTTTTGGTTGGTTTCGCAAGCGCGTGATGCCGATTTCCGCCCTACTTTGCCGTCGCTGTTTCCGCCACACCTCCGCGGAAGTATCCGCAGTCCGCAGTCAGGGTCTCCCCAGGCCGGGTGTTTCGGCCCGTGCCGCTTCTTTGCTGGCGCCGGCGCCCGGCGCGAGCCCCAGAAGGCGGAGCGCGGCCAGAGGCTTCCCGCCGGGAGGTTGCTCGAACATATGCCGAGGTTGCTCCCGCGCCCAAGGCTCCAGGCCTCCTAGAGATGGGGTCGGAGCAGATGGGGTCGGAGCGGCGTCGCCAGTGCAACGCCGATGCATCGCCGAGGCAACGGTGACGTGCATCGCCGATGCCATCGCCGACGCGGTGCGATCCTCCGACCAACAGCCCCAGACCCCCGACGTAATGGTTTTTTCATTACGTCGACCCCCAGAGGTCCCGACCCTTTCCCCATGACCGGCTCTGCATCCTGAGTCGTTTTTTGTCGCTCCCGAGGCCCGGCGAGGGCCCCCAGAGGCCGAAAAGTAGGAAAAACTTCCCGTCGTGCTTTTTTCATTGCTCGAGGGGGTCTGGGGCTGCTCGGACTCGTGGCGCCCGCGCCCGTAGGCGCGCGCGCCACGCGCCGCTCCGCCCTCTGGCCCAGGCCGCCCCGGGCCACCGGGGCGGCAGCGGGCGCCGCGGGGGGGGCGCGCCCGCCCGACGCTGGCGGAGCGAGGCGCGCGCGGGCGCGCGGCCACATGGGCGACCGGGCGGGGAGCACGGCCAACCCGTTCTTCCTCTCGGCGGCGGGCCCGGGGGGAGGCGATATCCGAGGGGGCGGGCTGCAGAGGTCCGGCGCCCCCCCAGAAGAGCGCGGAGCGGGCGGCTGCTGGCCGCTCTCGGCCTCGAGGGCCCCCAGGAGAGCCCCCTCCTCCTCCCACTGCCCCTCCCCCCCCTCCTTCTCCTCGCACTGGCTCCCCGCACACGCTCCCAACGCACTAAAAGGCATGATGCACCGCGGAACCGCATAGCGGCAACGTGCGCTGACGAGCCCATGGCCTCCTAGAGCCCCAGGGCCCTTGCTAAGGCAAGGCAAGTCGCTGGGCCTCGGGAGCGTCGCAAAACGGCCCGCGGGACGAAAAACCCGGCCCCGGGGGGAAGAGGTCCGGCCTCCGGGGCCCACGCAGCGAACAAGTGGGAGCAGTCGGATGCCCGGAAGGGGCGGGCCTTCTCGGGAGGGAGGCTGCCTCTGCAGGGGCCTCCCGTGCGGCCTCCCGATGTTTGGTCCATGCGCGGCCCCCGGAAGTCCCGACCCTTTCCCCAGGACGGGCTTCTCCTCCTGAGTATAGCTCTTGGGCGGTCCTGGGGCCCGGCGAGGGCCTCCAGAGGCCGATAATATCATGGCGAAGCGCCTCTCCTGCCCAGTTTTTTTGTTCACGGCGCGACCCGAGGGGCCCTCTGGGAATCCGGAGGGAAAGAAACACACAGACACAATTAATCGTCGACTTCCAGGAAAATATGGGAAAATATGGGAAGTGGGGGGGGAAGACAAAAACCAAGAAAATATTTGAAAATATGGAGGTTCCAGTTACTTGTGTGTATTCATTTGTGTGTGCTACCTTGCTTTTCTGCTCACGACGCGACCATATGCGTGGGCTCTCAGAACTCCGAGGGCCCCTTCAGGGAAGCCCCGCCGCCTTCTGCCACTGCCCCCGCTCCCTCCGCCCCCCCCCCCCGGGCGCGCCGCCGATCCTCGCCGTGAGCCGCTTCCGGCAGAAGAGGTTCGACGACTGCATCGACATCTCGGGGCCGTCGAGGAGGGTCGGCCACGCGCGGAGGGGGGGGGTGCATGAAACAGGGCTAGGATCGGGATAAATCGCTCCAGAGCGTTCCGGAGCGCTCTCAGAGCGTTCCGGAACGCTCTGGAGCGGCCGCGGCGCCCAATACATCCTCCAAACCCGCCGATCCTCAGAGATTTCGAGTTATCCCGATCCGATTTTGTCCCGATTTTCGCGTCGTTTTAGGTGCAGTGGAGACCCATGCCGAGAAACACCCTGCTTGCCTCCAGGGTGCCCTGGCTTTCTTGGTTCCCGATGGCTCTGCTATGGAGAGCGTGACGAGTTCCCACACCAAGAACCAACGGGCGTCCTGAGGTCTCAGGGTTGGGTTTCTTGTGGAAGGTTTCTTGTGGTCGAGCTCCTGTTGCAGGCGGAGAGGGAAGGGCTTCTTAGAAGCACCGCTCCTTCTCAGAAGGCGCGGGCCTTGTCTGCAGGTGTAGGGCCCGCGACTTCTAAGGAGCAGCCTGCGTCTGAGAAGCCTTCCCCCCCCTCCTCCTCCTCCTCCTCCTCCTCCTCCTCCTCCTCCTCCTCCTCCTCCTCCTCCTCCTCCTCCTCCTCCTCCTCCTCCTCCTCCTCCTCCTCCCTCCTCCTCCTCCTCCTCCTCCTCCCTCCCCTCCCCCTCCCCCTTCCCCCTCCCCTCCTCCTCCCCCTCCCCCTCCCCCTCCCCCTCCCCCTCCCCCTCCCCCTTCCCCTCTCCTCCTCCTCCTCCTCCTCCTCCTCCTCCTCCTCCTCCTCCTCCTCTCCTCCCCCTCCCCCCCCTCCTCCTCCTCCTCCTCCTCCTCCCCCCCCTGGCGCGCGCCCCCTGGCGCGCGCCGGCAAGGGGAGGGGGCACGGGCCGGCCCCGAGACCTGGGCGAGGCACTTTTGTCCTCCCACTGGGCGCGTCCGCCCGGTTTCGGGGCCCCCGCGGGGCCCTCACGGACCGATCCGGCTCGAACACTGGTGCTGACAAGCATGCCCAGACATGATGGCGTCGTGAAAAAATCGGGACGGGAGGTTTTTCGCTATTTTCGGCCCCTGGGGGCCCTCGCCGGGCCCCGGGACCGTCAAAAAACGACTCGGGATGACAAACCGGCCCCAGGGAAAGGGTCGGGACTTCCGAGGACGCCGTCCTGAAAAAATCAGGACGTCGCATTTCTGGGTGGGGTCCAGGGCTCTGGTCGCGAGTTCTCGCGATGTTGGATTTCTCGCAGCGTGAGCTCTCAGCGGGAGGGGGGCGGGGGGACCCCGTGGCCGGGGCCACGAGATCTCGCCGACCTCGTGGCCTCCTCCGCTTGCTGCGGCACGTCCTCCTGGCGTCCCCTCGGCCGCGCACGTGCCTCGGGCCACGATTCGCTACCCCCCCCCTGACTCCAGATCCGCCCTACTTTGGCTTTATTTTTTCAACTTAAAATTGCGTCGGAAATCCACCTATAAGAGGCCGAAAAAGTAGGGCGGAAATTTCTGCACCCAACAGAAGTAGGGCGGAAATCCACAGAAGTAGGGCGGAAACAGCAGCAGAACAGTAAGGCGGAAATTGGCATCAGCGGGGCTTGAAAATAGGGCGGAAATTCCAAACCCTACTTACGAATTTCCCCAAAGTAGAGCGGATCCGGAGTCAGGGCCCCTCTTCCACGCCCCCCTCTTGGACGCCCCCGAACATCTGCACCGAGATACTCGAGAAGAACCCGCGCGACCAGGCGGTGTGGTTCCTCAAGTGCCGGGCGCTTACGCGCAGGCAGTGGCTGGACGACGTGGAGATCGACGAGGACCGAGGCGCGAACCCGGGCGCGAGCGTGAGCTCCCGGAGGCCCGCGCCCCCCCTACCCTGGCGCGCGGAGCGCGCCAGGGACTACCCCCCCGAGGCGCCGCCGGAGGGGCCCGGTGCCGCTCCCCCGGAAGCGCGCCGCGCGGGCCTCCCGACGCGCTGGTGCCCATGCCGGCGAGCTCGCTCTCCGAGACCCGGGCGCTGCACCGTTGCCACGCGGGCCTTTCCGCAGGCCCCCCCCGGGGCCCGCGCGGATCGGTCCGGCTCGAACAGTGGTGCGGGAAGGTGGGGTCTGCTGGTAGGGCCCAGGGCTCCGCTCGCGATGTGTCGCCATCTGTTGCAGTTTGTCTGCAGCGTCTGATCTGAGGGCTCTCCCCAGAGATCCAGCGTATTGAAAAAATTAAAAGACTAAGGTTTTTCGCCGTTTTGGGCCTCTGCAGAGGCCCTCGCCGGGCCTCGGGAGCGTCAAACATCGACTCCGGACGTCAAGCCGGTCCTGGGGAGAAAGGGTCGAGACTTCTGGGGGCCCCGTGTCGAAAAAATCACGACGTCGGACCTCTGGGCCTCCTGGAGGAGGGCATAGCGGACATCCTCATGGACGACAACGCCGTGGCGCAGGCGCCGCGGCCGGGCACGTCCCTGCACCAGCCCCTCGCCAGGGGCCCGGAGGCCGGCGTGCCCTCGCAGGTGGTGCGCCCCGTCAGCGCCGCCCGGCGGCCGGTGACCGGCTTCGCGAGGCGCCGGGTTGCGTCGGGCCTGTCCCTCTATACAGGGGGGCAGTGCACCCTGACTCCGGATCCGCCTCACTCTGGGGAGATTCGTATAGGTAGGGCTTGGGATTGTCCGCCCTGCTTTTCAAGCCCCGCTGGTGCCAATGTCCGCCCCACTTTTCTGCTGCTGCTTCCGCCCTACTTCTGTGGAGTTCCGCCCTACTTTATGTTGGGTGCCGAAATTTCCGCCCTACTTGTTCGGCCTCTTATAGGTGGATTTCCGACGCAATTTCAAGTTGGGAAAAAAGCCCAAGTAGTGCGGATACGGAGTCAGGGCAAAGGCAGTCAAGAAAAGCCCTGGGGGCGGCTTTTCGGGGGCACCTTGTGGCCGTTTGGGGGGGCACTTTTGGGGCAGCTTTTTCCTTCCCAGACATGCGACGTCCTGATTTTTTCAGGACGGCGTCCCCGGAAGTCCCGACCCTTTCCCCGGGGCCGGTTTGTCATCCCGAGTCGTTTTTTGACGGTCCCGGGGCCCGGCGAGGGCCCCCAGGGGCCGAAAATAGCGAAAAACCTCCCGTCCCGATTTTTTCACGACGCCATCATGTCTGGGTTTTTTCTTTTTGTCCAGAGTGCGCCTGTGGGGGGACACGCCCGACGTGAGGCCAGGGACCAACAGGCCCACGAGCTCCGCGGCCGGGCGCGACGTGGCCACCGCGATGCAGGGCGCCGCGGGAGGAGAGAAAAAGACGCGGCGTGAGCCCAGAATGGAATGGCCATGGCCATGAATTTCCAACATGAGTTCTCGAGTTTTAGGTCCCAAAAATCCAGCTCATTGAAAAATCAAGACGGAGGTTTTTCGCCGTTTTCGGCCTTCCAAGGCCCTCGCCGGGCCTCGGGACCGTCAGAAATCGAGTCGGGGTGAAAAACCGGTCCTGGGAAATGGGTCGAGACTTCTGGGGACCGCGCATCGAAAAAATCACGACATCGGATCTCTGGGGTAATGACCATGAATTTCCAACATGAGTTCTCGAGTTTTAGGTATGGTCTCCTCAGTGCCGCCAATCGTGCCCCTTAGTGCCGCCGTGTGCGCGCACGTCGTTTTCAAAGGCTTAGAGTCTTGAAAGGAAGAGAGAGCAGCCAAGCCCAGACACCCGGCGAGGTGATGACTGCGCCGCGCGGTCCTGGGAGGTCCCGGCCCAGAAGTGCAGTGTCTTGGCAAAGTCAGGACGCAGGTTGCTCGTCGTTTTCGGTCTCTGGGGGTCCCTTGCCAGGCCCCTGGACCGTCCAACAACGAGTCGGGATGAGCAACTAGTCCTGCGGGGACAGGGTCGGGGCTTCCGAGGACTCCTTATCATGAAAAATCAAGACGCCGCATGTTTGGGGACCCCTTCCCTGGGGGTAGTATAGTCTTTCCTCCTAGATCAATTGTTTGATGGCCCCGCGGTCTGACGACGGGTCCCAGAGGCCGACGTCGAGAAGAATCGCCAGGACTGAGAAAGCATATCATCGGGAATCTGGGAGCATGGCATAGCATGGGAGGCCCGTGCGGAGCTCCGGAAGCCCCTGCTGATGCCGCTCCTCCTCACAGGCAACCGCCCTGGGACATCCCGGCCGCTCACGTCGATGGGTCGCCTGGTGCGTCTGGGCACCGCGTCAATGCAGCACGACGACGGCGGCGAGTTCGTCAGGCTCGATGCGCTCGACCTGAAAAAGTACGCGCAGCGCCCTGCCATCGCCAAGGCGCTCTGCGACTACATGCTGTACTACGCTCACAACCCCCGAAAGGCGCTGGAGCTTGCATCGGAAGCGACGCAGGCTGGTAAGACTTCGAGTTCCTTGAGATCCGGGCGTTGCATGTGTGTTCACACAGGACGGTTTCGCCCGGTTTGGGGCCCTGGGGCCATCACAAACAGCTGCAGCAGAACGTTGGGGTCTCGGGCTTTGGTCGTGTTTTTTGCGTTGTTGTGTTTTTTTTCGCAACGTCGGATTTCAGGGTTGCGCACAGACAGCCCCCCAAGGTTGTCCAGACTGACTTCAGCCGCCCCCCCCGAGTAGCCCAGGGCGGTCTCAACATCTCCGGCGGCGCCCCAGGGGTATGTTGAAACCGCCTTGGGCTGGCTCGGGGGACCTGTTGAGGCGAGCCAGGGCTGCTTGGGGGACTCCCAGTGCGCAACCCGAAGCCTGACCAACGCAGGCGTCGGACTTCAACGACTGGTGGTGGAAGGCTCGCCTCGGCAAAGCGTACTACCAGCTGGGGCTGTTGCGGGACGCCGAGAAGCAGCTGAAGAGCGCCCTCAGAGACCAGGACATCGTCACGACGCACCTCGAGTTGTGCAAGATCTACCTCAAACTGGACCAACCCAACACCGCGCTGGACCAGTACACCCGGGCATCAGAGAAGTGGACTGGGGACACACATCTATTAGTAGGCATCGCGCGGACTTGGGACATGTTGAACGCCCTGCTCAGGGGCGTGCAGTTCTACAAGAAGGTGCTGCACTACGATTCGGTCAACGTGGAGGCGATAGCATGCTTGGCGTCGCACCATTTTTACACCGACCAGCCAGAACTGGCGCTGCGCTTTTACCGACGGCTATTGCAGAACGGCGTTGCGAACGCGGAGCTGTGGAACAACATGGGGCTCTGCTGCTTCTATGCGGGGCAGTACGACTTAACCCTGAGCTGCTTTGAGCGGGCGCTAATGCTGGCGGACGACGACAACATGGCCGAAGTCTGGTACAATATCGGCCAGGTGGCCATCGGCGTCGGGGACCTCGGCCTTGCATACCAGGCGTTCAAGATTGCCGTGTCCGTGGACCCCAACCATGCAGAGAGCTACAGCAACCTCGGGGTTCTGGAGCTCAGGAAGAACAACGTCGAGCAGGCGCAGGCGCACTTCCACACCGCGATGCGCCTCGGGCCCCACCTGTTCGAGCCCGCCTTCAACGGCGGCCTGCTGGCCTTCAAGCTGGGCGACTTCCAGGAGAGCTACGAGCTGGCGCACAAGGCGCTGGAGGCGTACCCGGACCACATCGACAGCAAGGAGCTGATCAAGCAGCTGAAGTCCCACTTCTCCTCCCTCTGAGGCGCTCGCGCCGGAGGCGGGGACGGGGGGGAGGGGGCCCCTCCGGGCGGCCGATCGCGGGCGCGCCGGCCTGCCGGTGGAAGACCCACCCGCGTGCCGCGCGCGCCCGCCGCTGGGCCCAGCGCGGGCCCGCCGGTCCGAGAGCCCGTGGCGCGCGGCCGCGCGCGGGCCGCCTCCTCGGCCCTCCGGGCTCATCGCCGCGTCTGGGGAGGACTGATCCTCCCCCTCCCCTCCCGATCCCGGGTTTTCGCGGGGTATACTGATTCTTTTTTCGGGGGGAGGACTGACCCTCCCCCGCCCCTCTCCTCCTTGGGTTTTCGTGGGGTACTGCTCCTCCTGCCGTCCCCTCCTGCCGTCCCTCCGCCGCCGCGGCGGCCGCATAGTCGTGCGCCGTTGTCGGACGTGCAGCGTCTCGAGCAAAGTCGGGCCAGAGGTCTGCAGACGTCCTCTTCGGGCCCGAGGGGGACGTCAAGGAGCGAGCTTCGGGACGAAAAGCTGGACTTCCGGGGACCGGGTCGTGACCTCCAGAGGCCAGAAATAGCGAAGGCCGCCAGTTTTCATTTTGGCCACGACAGGATCCTGTGTGGGCCCCTAGGCCTCTCTGGGGGTGGGGCATGTTCTGACCAGGATCCCGACGCGAACCCGGCGCCCTGGCGAGGCGAGCCAGGAGGAGGAGGAGGAGGAGGAGGAGAAGGAGGAGGAGGAGGAGGAGAAGGAGGAGAAGGAGGAGAAGGAGGAGGAGGAGGAGGAATAGGAGGAGGAGGACGAGGAGGATGAATAGGAGGAGGAGGAGGAGGAGGAAAGGGAGGAGGAGGAGGAAAGGGAGGAGGAGGAGGAGGAGGAGGAGGAGGAGGAGGAGGATGAGGAGGGAGGATGAGGAGGACCAGTGCGAATCCAAGACTCATCAACGATGTTGAAATATACTCTCCCTCCGAGCTCTCTCTTCATATGTCCCTACAAGGGTTCATTTCCACTCAGGAAGACCCTGAAGCAGGCCCAAACACCATTCTCGGGACTCCAACGCCACGGATCAACTTGACTGTTGCGTCTTAACGATCCTGAATCGTGCCAGAACGCCGTTCCTGGGATTTCAACACCGCGAATCAACGTGACTGGTGCGTCCTCACAATCCTGAATCCTTCCAGAATGCCACTTCTGGTACGTTGACCATGGGAACCTGTGAATTTCCTGCGTTTTGTTTAAGTGAATGTGCGCGGCGCTAAGGCGAGAGCCACCTGTTCAAAACCAACCGCCCTCAATCCGTGAAGCTCTTGCACATTTTGATAGCGAGTGCGAGCGGTGCTAAGGCGAGAGCCACATTTTGAAAACCAGCCGCAATCATCCGCGAAGCTCTTGCAATTGTTTAAAAGTTGTGTGCGCGGCGCTAAGGCGAGAGCCGCATTTTGAAAGCCGCGTGCCCTCATTCCGTGAAGCTCTGGCAAATTTTGATAACGAGTGCGCGCGGCGTTAAGGCGAGAGCCACATTTTGGAAACCACCCGCTCTCAATGTTTGAAGCTGTTGACATCGTTTAAGCTTCATGGTCATAAGTGGTGAGGACGTCTCAGGCGAAACGCCCGGCCAGCCCTTTCGACCGGCCTCGGTGCGTGACAGGGAGGAGTTATTCATAAGGAAGAGGAATGGAGGAGGAGGAGGAGGAGGAGGAGGAGGAGGAGTAGGCGGAGGAGGAGGAGGAGGAGGAGGAGGAGGAGGAGGAGGAGGAGGAGGACAAGGAGGAGGAGGAGGACGACGAGGAGAAGGAGAAGGCGGATGAGGAGGAGGAGGAGGACAAGGAGGAGGAGGAGGAGGAGGAGGAGGAGGAGGAGGAGGAGGAGGAAGACGAGGAGGAGGAGAAGGCGGAGGAGGAGGAAAAGGAGGCGGAGGGAGATGAGAAGAGCCCAGACCTCCTCGAGTCATGAACGGGAGGCCTTTCGCCAGTCTCGGCCTCCCGGGGCCCTTGCGGGGCCTCGGGACCGTCCACAGGCAGCGACCTGGGAGGAGAAGCCGGCCCCAGGGAAGGGGTCGAGACCTCTGGGCGTCGACGCTGCGACGAGGTCCTGACGTCGGGGGCCTTCGGAAGCGTCGCGCGGCGGCTCGGAGGCGCCAGCCGGCCCCGAGCAGGGCGCCCTCAGAGGCCCGCGGCCTGGGCGCGCCCGGCTCCCGCAGGGCGGGGATGCGCGCGGCGGGCCCCTCGCGCGCGCGGCGCCGGGCTGGGGCCCCGCCCGGACTCCCTTCGT